CCCAATGGCGCCTGCCTGTAATTCCAGCTACTCAGGAGGCTGAGGCCAGAGAATCACTTGTACCCAGGAGGCAGAGGGTGCAGTGAGCTGAGATTGCGCCACTGCACTTCAGCCTTGTGACAGAGCAAGATTCCATCTCAAATAATAATAATCATCATCATCGTCATCCTACAAGATTGGTGGTATTATTAACTTATTTCACAGAGATGTAAAATAACTTGCTCAAGGTAACATATCAGTAACCAGGGATTTCAGCTTGGGTGCTCTACTTCATAGCTTCCCTGTGGTGTCATACATGCAAACATTTTAAAGAATGAACAAAAGGTTTAGATAGAAATTGGTGTGTTAGGACTCAGGATTATGAGTTGGAAGATAACTAGAACTGAAGAAGGCAACTAATTTATAGGTGTTCTTGACCACAGACTTTGCAAAATTCCTTCAGAACCTTATTCCAACCTTTATCCCTATTCTGTGACTGTGCAGCCTCTTGCACTGTAGACAAAACGTAGATTTCTTTACCATCCCACAGTCCAAAGAAACAAACAGCATCCTTTCCCCTTCATGGTTCCCCTATAGCTGTCATCTCTTTTTCTTCTCTCTTTCATCCGTTTCAACAGACTCTAAATCTGCCTCCTCATTTTCAAGCTCACTTTTAATCCCATTGCCATCTGACTTCAGTCCTCATGCTTTTTTCAAAACTGCTATTTTTAAAGACACTCATACTACCAAATTCGATGGAGATTTTTCCTTTCCTAAGCAGTATACTCTGCTGCTTTTGCCATGACAAAGGGCTTCCTCTGCCTCCAATTATCCCAATACCTCTCTGTTCTTTATTTCTTTTCTTCTCTGGCTTTTTGTATTCTTCACAATCCAGTGGTCTTTAGAAGTTGGTATTGCATCACCATCCACAACTACTTTAACTTTGCAGTATCTTTGGATGACGGAATCTGCTCTTCTAGCATTGACCATTACTTTATGATGATAATTCTCCAGAATACATCGTTGACCCTGATTTCTCTCCTCCCAGCTTAAATCTTGCAAATCCAAACATCTGCTGAATTCATATTTATTTTTTTAAAGCCCTGAGAAAACATAAACTTACTGCCAAACTACATTCTTCAGCTTCCTTTTTGGCATCGCCCTTTGCCCAGTCATCCAAGCCTGAAACAGGGAAGTCACTGCACACTCGTATTTTTTTCTGACCTCTTCACATCAGTCTAACAGCAAGTCCTGCTGGCTTATTTCCCAATATGTCTACTCCACTCTGTTTCTAGTACCTGAGCCACAATTCAGGGCTTTATTATCACTCATTTCATTTTGAGAGCAAAATGATAACACTTTTTTAATTCCTAAGACAGAATACACATAATACATGTTTAATAAACATTTGTTCATTAAAAGGAAGGTTAAAAAATAAAAGGACAAAAGAAGGTAGACATCATAGAGACAGTGGGAACCACCCGAGCCTTTCCTTTATCTACGATGAGTGGCTTATTATATGACCAGACTCAAAACTCCACATTTTCTATCCTTGTTCTCCAAACAAATGGCATTTTCCACCCTGAGATATTCATGCTGCCATTTCCAAGTCTCCTAGTTCAAGATTGTTGATGAATAAAATCTATATTTTGAAATATACTCTAAAGATTGCAATATAATTGCTGATATAATTGGGACCTTTCACGTTGGCCTAGTTTTCATTCATTGTATTTTTAGTCTGTCTGTTCTCTGCAACTAGACTAGATAATCAGATTTCACAAAGCACCTAACACATTTTTCTAAAACTACATAATTTTTTTCTTTCAGGATCGGAGACACAAAATCAGAAATTAAGGTTCTAAGCATAGGCGGAGGTGCAGGTATGAATAATATGTTTTTGAAGTTTGTATTTCACTTCAAACGTCATGCTGTGTGATGGCAATAGTGTTCATTTTTTTAGAAAAGTTTTTTTTTTTTTTTTTGCTTTTGGAAGAGATCAGCTTATTAAAACTAGAAATATTACTTCAGCTAAGATTAATGCCCTCATAGATTTAGAAGGTTTAGGACATTCACCTTCATTACTATCTCTATTGTGAATAAAGGATGTGACTTATTCTTTTGATAAATGAAAAATCAAATAGGATAACTTTAAGGATAACTCTTATTCAAAATGATTTAAATATTCACAGAAAAGGAAAATCCCATAAGAAGTTCCTTAAGCTTGTGTCACTTTAAAGCCTTGTTCATGGATTGATTACTGGTTTCAAATTGTTTTTGATCCATGTGAAATTAGAAATGTGCACTGGAATATAAACTGATGCCCAGCTTTTTTCATTGAGAAATTCTCACCATGGGGGAAAAATATGCTCAATGACATAGTTAATTTACATTCCTGTGTCCCCATTCTTTGAGTGGCACGGGCCTAAACTGTTCCCTTCATCTTACTCAGTTCCAAAACAGGCTGAGAATTACCTGCAGCATTCAGAACACTCCTAAGCACCCTTTTATAGGGTGCTTAGTTATCTTTGTCTTAATACGAATCACAATTGAACTCATTGATGGGGCACTAGAATACTTAAGAGATTCAAGGGATTACCACTTAGCATTAAGTTACAAGTGACAAAGTGCCCACTTGATACCAAGTTATAGCCATTACTGAACTATCACTCAGACAAAAGAAAAAAGACTAATAAAACACCCTTTTATAATCTCATTACTTTTAGGTCCAGCACTTTTATTCTAGGGGAAAATTGAAAGTCTGGAAAAGTAGATGGACACAGGTAACTCTGCCTCCAATGAACTGTATCATCTTGGCTGAAGCATCAGTAAAATGGAAACAATGAATTTTATCTCATAAGGTTGTAGTGAGAGTGATGTAGGTAACATTTACAAAGTGCTTAGGACATTCTTATTGCTCCTGGAGGGTGAAGGCTATTCCCTTCTGCAAAAGTGAAATAGAAAGTTTCATATCAAGACTTTTCCTCATATCAACTCCTGAACAGTGTTTGCTTTAAGTTGCTAGTCATTTGGAAGTTTGGGTTAATGCATTAATATACAAAATATGTAGACATATTATTTATATATTTATCCTTAGTTATGTTTTTTTGTCTGAGTGATAATTCAGTAATGGATGCAACCTGGTATCAATTGGACACTACTGTCATATGTAATTACCACTTAATGCCAAGTGGTAATCCCTTGAATCGCTTAAGTGTTAAGTGTTCTAGTGCCCCATGAATGAGTTGAGTTGTGGCTCATATTAAGACAAAGTTAACTAAGAGCCCTTTAATGAAATGAGATCACTGAGTTTTGTTTTGCTTTGTTTTGTTTTGAGACAGAGTCTTGCTCTGTCACCCAGGCTAAAGTGCAGTGGAACAATCTTGGCTCACTGCAACCTCCGCCTGAGTTCAAGCAATTCTCCCTGTCTCAGCCTCCTGAGTAGCTGCGATTACAGGTGCCCGCCACTACACCTGGCTAATTTGAGTATTTTTTGGTAGAGGTGAGGTTTCACCATGTTGGCCAGGCTGATCTCAAACTCCTGACCTCAGGTGATTAGGCCTCCCAAAGTGCTGGGATTACAGGCACAAACCACCATGTCTGGCCAAGATTAATGATTTTTAATGTCATTATTTGTTCATTTTTCAGTAGATACACCATCATATAGTGTAATAAGAACTAATCCTTAAAATTATTTTATTTTACTGTCATATTTCACCAAGAAAATAGAAATCAACAAATACAGATAATGAAGGGGATTGTCATGAACAATATCACAGAGAGTGTTTAAGCTAAAATACTTTATTATTGCTTATGGATACTTTAAGTCCCCCAAATTATAATAGTGATGAATTGCCCAAAGAACGCCTTATTAATTGACTTAACCAAGACAGTTATTTCCTGTGTGTTTTGCATATGAGTTTCAGGCAACCAACGGGCAATGAGACTATCATTTGATAGTGTCACTTGTGCTTGGACAAGAAGAGAAGCCCTACAAGAAAACGTAATTAAAAACAATCTCTATCATGGCCAAGTTAATTGACCTTTTAATATAAAGTTAATTGAATTTCTAATGCAAATTTATCCAGATGCTTATAAGCTATCTAGAGAAAGGAACATTTGGCCTGCACAGTGATTCCTTACATAAAGGTGCACATAGAAGCTAATACAGAGAACTTAACAAAATAAAGGGAGCAACTCTTGGAGTTCTTCTGACAGAACCCTAACATTGTAGCAATAACAAGCTCTGCCTTGGGGAGAATGTGGGTGCCCTTTAAGGTCACTTTCCATAAGAAATCAATCAGAAATGTAAGGAAAAACTCCAAGAAAAATTCAAGCTATGTATATTCAGCTTTCACTACCCGAGTAAGTTATATGAAATCAAAAGCAATGCATTTAAAATCCCTAGATCTAGGTGTCCATTGCTTGAAAAAGCAGTGTTTTGAGGTGAGAGGACATGCTACTTCAGTTAGTTTGAGTGCTCATGTAGCAACTGGGAGATGGTTTTCTAATCACCTATTATGGCCTGACTGCAAGCATTATGCAGAACAATACATTACTCTACAGCAAGGAACTTTCTATTCTTGTTTTAGAGAAATGGTGTCCCCACATATTCTATAATCTACAGGGTGCCTGAGAGCTTTATATCATCCCATGGCTTGAGTATCCTTCCAAATCAGCTATTAACTCCAGTCCCTAGCAAATGAGGCCATTGATCTTGTTCAGTCCCTTGGTCTCATTTCCTGTAATGCATCTCATAGGGTCCCGTTTCTGTCTTAGTTTACAGGTTTTACTACCTCGACTTTCTTTTCTTGGTTGCACAGGTAGACACAAGCATGGCTTTGATGCGAATGTTCTCTCAGCCTTCATAATGGTGCTACTACTTCTCCCACCATGCTTCAAAAACATACAAAAGCAAACCAGCTAAAACCCTCCCTAGATGAAACTGCTACTTTTATATCACTTAATTCTCATGTTTTTTGGGGGGTGGGGGCTATATGATTTTTTTTTTCCAGAAACATAAGCAGGGAGGAGGTGCACATTGGCCCTATCGATTAACCTCTCCTCTTGAGTCTGGTGTTTGTGCGTAAAGAGTTTTCATAGTTTAAGAAATAATGTAAGGTTTTTGCAAAAGGTGCTTGGCACTTCAGTTTGGAAGTCAAGCAATTATTAGGGGTCTGAGCAATTCAAAAGAAAGGAAACAAATGGCAAATTCTTTAAGTCATCTACCATATCAATAGAGTATAACTGGTAAATAACACTGTTATCCATAGATTATACATTCTAATATTAGGAAAATGAAATAAATATTATATGAATCCAATAGGAAGAAAGGAAAACAAGCCATGAACAGAAAAACAGACTACATAGCTTTTACAGAGACCAAACTGGGAAGTATAAAGTTATGCATGTGTGTTCGTGTATATGAGTTTGTGTGCTTTAATGAGGCAAAATGAATGGCCAGAAATGCTTTATTCAGGGTCTTGAAGTATTCATGTTGTTAATTTCTGCAATTATATTTAGGTTTTGAGAGTAATGCATATATTCTGAATCTCATAGAATATGCTTTTTGGTCCATCAGCATTAATGACATGAAACTTCCTTAAATGAAACCACTTGATGGAGCTTCATTATTATTCAACTTCTAATGAGTGTTGTCTTCATGCTAGATGGTACATGGGAAAAAAGAAACCCATATTCTTTTTGGTAGGAGAGAATTCTATTAATTTACAGTGCATATACTTATTACTGAAAAAAATGTTCCGGAAAGCAGTCATGGGCAATGTGTTCTCTTTGCTCCAGGCTCTGCTTACAGAATAATCATTTTATCTGTCCTGCTGTTTGGTTCTTATGTTCAAATGCCAGAAAGTTTTTTAAGAGTTAGACAGAACTATAACTCGAATAATCACATTTAATCCACTTCCTACTTCTATTTTCATTAACCTTTGTATACTAACTTAACCACTATACCATTGCTACAACAATAATTGTATATATGTTTATAGATAATTTTTTAATTCACTCAAGCAACTCACATATGAAATATGAGTGTTATCAACCCTCATAATTTTTTTTGTAATAGTTTTTCTGACATATGTTGAGAGCAGTTTGATGGTTCTTTTGTTCTGCAACATATAGATGCCAGCATTTCTAGAGAGGTTAAAAACTAGAAGAAAATTTAGAGACCATCAACACTCTCACTTCACAAACAGGAAACCTGGGGACCATCATGGCAGAACAAAACCTAAGTCTCTTGATTTTAGCAGTCCAACAAATTGTACTAAACAGATTTAATAGTTTATTCTTAACTTGGTAAAGGAAAAAGTGTCTGAGACAGCTCTCAATCAATTTAGAGGTTTATTTTGCCAAGGTTTAGGATGCAACTGAGAAGAAGAGACACAGGTTGCAGTAGCATCTGTGATCTGTGCTTTTGCCAAAGAGGTGTTTGAGAACTTCAATATTTTAAGAGGGAAGAGCAGCAGGAGGAGAAGGAGGAAAGAATAAAATAAGGAGGGTAGGTGGTGAGGTAAGTGGTCACTTTCTTATGAGGCTTTGATTAGCACTTACTGAATCCATATGTTATATGTAAAAGGCGGGGGGCCCCTTGGAGAACGACGTTCTATCATTGCACCTATCTGTTTAGGTACAAAAGGGAAGGCAGTTTTTGCATGACCCAGTTCTCAATTGTAACTTTTCCTTTTGACATAGTGAGATTGAGGTCAAGATTTTATTTTCCTTTCACAGGAGAGATTAGGTACTTAGCAATGACGAGCTATTTTAAAATCTAACCTCAACACATTGTTAATCTTGTCTCCTTTCATAAATGACATGTTAAGGTAACACAGAAGCTTAATACTTTAAGCTGATTGGACAGTAGTAGAATGAATATAATTCAAGTAGGAACCGGAAGATCCAGTGTGTCAGGTTTAGAAACTAGGAGGTGGCAGGAAGCAAGTGTTAACGTTTACAAATGATCCATAGTAAGCCAACAGTAAAGATCAACAGATATAAAATGCTTGAAAAAATACAGAGAATTGAGATTTTGTTTTTGCCGGGAAAAAAGAATTTGGCTGTGCTTATTGCCATTTTCATATCTTTTCTGATGGGCAAACAAACAATAGAATATTTGCCTTCAAAGGCCAATGGTTGAAAGCTTCAGAAAGTGATTTCTTGGCTGAGTATAAAAGTATGTTAATGATCAAACCTGTCCATAAGTAGAAAGTAACTTTCATTTCGTGGCAGATAAGGAGTTATCTGTTGTTCTAGTCGTATCGGCATAGGTTGGAGACATACTTTACAGATAGGTTATGGAAGGGACTCAGGCACTGATTTCTTGTGTCTTTGAGCCATTAAACATGCATTTAGTCTTGAAATCTTGTTTTATAAATCACCTTCTAGAAAGGTGGTAGGAATTCTTTTCAGAGTGGTGTGGCTATTACCATGTTTGTTGTATTGAGAAAGTGAAATTCTAATGGGGTTTCTAGACCTGCAGGTAATTTTTGGAATGGATTTTAATTGCTTATAACTAATGAGTAAAAACTAGTGTGCTTACATGCAGTATAATAGCAGTTACTCCTTTATCAGAAGGACATAGATTATACACTAATCTACAGGATTTAGAACTACTTTAGATAAACACAGTATTGTTTGGGGCATCATTTTATTAAAGGCATTTATAAATATATGATTAAAGCATAAACTATTCTTTGTACATAACTTTACCAAAATAATTTACCCCATTATATTGTGTTGTATTTAAATCTTTCAGTGAACATAGAGGTATCATTAAAGATAGATACATTACAGATTTGAGAGAATGGAACATAGTGTTAGAACACTGGAGTCATTGTCATTAAAAGCAGAGTAAACAAGGCTGTTTTGGCTAATTCAATAAGGTTTGAAACAGCAAAACAAGGAATAATAAACAGAGTGAAGACAAAGCTATCATTGCAAATTAAATGACTGTGTACTTAAAAAAGCAAATGAACTTAGTTGTAAAGCCTTAGAATTAATAACAACGCAGCAATGGACTTGTATAGGTAAAATAGATAAAAAGCAATGTAGTAGGTCCTCATTCTGTTTTGTTGTTGTCAATGTTAGTTTTCCATTTCCAGTTTTGATTATTTACAATCTACATAAAAGTCCATGGCATATGTTTATCTGTAATTTTGCTGAAGGACAAATTTGTGTCTTGCCAGTTTTTGTGCCATTTTTTGGTCTGTAGTCTCTTAATTAGTCCATAAGTTTCCTCTGGACAGTCACACTGAATAAAACTTTGCAATTTAATATACACTGTCATGCAACTCTGGTGTAGGCAACCTGCTGTTATCTTCATTTTATAGATGGTGAACCTAGTAATATATGACTGAAGGGGAATGAGAGATGACAGGGATTCAGATAAATTGCCTGGGTCTCCTTCAGCTGAATCTCTATTAAGAATAACAATCTGAGAAAAATGATAAAAAATTTTTTGTTAATTAGCTATATTATTCAAAATATTAAAAATGTATTTAAAAGAAAAATTCAAGTTTTTACTAAGAATAATTCAAAAAGATGTAAAAAGCCAGTAACATATAATACTGATGAGGTTACAATGATATGGAAGCTTTGATGTGCAAAAGGTAAGGATATGAAATTAAAATTTCCCTGAAAGTAATTCAGCGTTAACATAGCAAGAACAGTTCTGATTTTCATCTCATACGCACTGGCCTGGCCCTGCTGTACTTACAAATATGGAAATTCTTGATAAACATCTACCCTTCTTCCATACTACCCTAGCCCCAGATATTGCTTCAGTGCTTTCACCTGGACATCCCACCTTGCCTCCCCGCCCCGTCTCCAGGACTCCAGCAATTGGGCTGGTCTTGCCTGTCCAGGAGGGCTGCTAGGACTGTGCTACAGTTCCCTAGCCTGCATCCTTTCTGACCATCTGCCATCCTTGTACTTGGGCTTTTTGTTGTTGTTTATCACTGTTTTTAAAAATATCATCACAGATGAACAGTCTTATTCCAATCATTAATTCCCAGCATGGGAATTAACTTAAAAAGATTAAGATTTTTGCATAAAAATTTATGGTTCATTTTTAGTCTCCTCACAATAGCAATGTATCTAAAACTATATATGAGACTGACTATAGTTAATTTTATGTATATTCATGTGTGTATGTTAACTGTACTATAGTTATATAGTATAGAGATTTATATGTGTATATGTTAACTATACTATACTATGTATTATATAATTATATATAGTATTAGATAATTCTATGGTATAAGCTATACTCTATATTACATAATTATATAATATAGTCTTATATAATGTATTGTATACTTTATACTATATCTTATACTATATGTATATACTTAATACTATATATCATATAATTATAATAGGTAATATGTTTATAACAGGTAATATTTTATATATTATTTAGCATATAATTGGCAATACATTATATAATATACTTATATAGTATACTATATAAGCATACTGTATTATATAATATAGTATATTATATAATATGTAGTATAGTTTATATGTTATATAGTATAGTTAATATATAATGTGTTATATATGGTATATATTTAATTATATATTATCCTATATAATATATAAAGTACAGTTTATGTATATATGAGACAAACTATATGTAAAATTATATTTTCACATATAAACATATATCTGTGTATATTCACATATGTAAAATATAAATACAAATATAAATGTATTTTATATAAATACATACTTTTATTTATATTATATATGAAAGGTTAATCATTAAGTGAATTATTGCACATGTCCATTTATGAGAATGTAGTATAGACACTACAAATAACACATTAAAATAAATGTTAATATATTCATAGTTTAACTCTCAAGTGAGAAAGGCAAATAATTTAGGTACATAATAATCTCATCTAGATAGACTAAGAAAAAATTTGATTTGATCAATGGAGAAAAATAAAAGTTTAGGAAGAAATACAGTAAAATGTTCACTTTTACTTTATTGAGCAGTGAGATATTTCTTTTCTATTTTATATCTTTCTCTATGTCTCAAGTTTTCTGTAGTATGAATTTTTAGCCAAAGAGAGAAAAAACAAAACTATAATTTTATATAGAGCGATGATGGTAAGGACTAGACCCCTGGCCTCTCTTTTATCTCCTTCAGCTAAGTAGCTAAAGCCGAAAGCACTGCCCAAACAAGTGTGTTTTCCTGAAAGTTTTTCTTCAGAACATTTTGATTCACCTTTAACAGTTTTACACCTGTGCAACACTTAAAGAGCAATTCCAGCTATGTTGTAGATTAGCAGAGCTTTTCCGTGGAGCCCACAGATTTTCAGTAACTAGCACTGAGTACACTTTAGCTATGAGGATGGTGAGGATGATGCCAATCGAGAGAATGTGGCTATCCTCTGTTTCTTGATGTATTTGATGTATCTTTTCTGAGTTTTCCATCACATATCTGTACATATCAGTCTTCAGCACCCTTTGAGGCATTTTCTCTAGGTTTGTGTTTTACAGAACCTTTTGGTTGCATGACTTTTCTTAGACTTCCTGTAGTTGCAAAGCACATAGGCAGTAGGTTTCCTGGGCCAAGGGCCAGAAGACACATGAAAACAAATGGTAACACCCTTTGGACTAAGAATTTATATTTATAATAACTTTCTTGAAACTCTACAGCTATTTTAATATTTTATACTTATATT